GGGGGGGGGGGGGGGTACTCATTGTCGTGCATGCCCTAGTCGTTAGTTAGACCATTGACCTTTCGCATCCCTACACAGCCGGGACGGAGCACGCCGGCTCCTCACAGGACCAGGGGGGGGAGGGGGGGAGGAGAACCAAAACAAGTGGTAACGAAAACCATTCAGGGGCGGCGCGGCGCTTTGGCGCGCGAGGGAGCGAGCGAGCACACAGCGGAGGAACATTTTTCCGTGAACACCAGATGGCGACAAAAATTGATTGTATGCATGTGTGTGTTCGCCCCGTCTATTGAGGCGCCAGTCTATAAACGCTTTTTCGGTGTAGATGTTTGACGGGGTCGCACGCCGTTGGCTTAAAATGTATAGTTGGTGCAACCAAACGGCGGTAGCAATCGCCGGGTGCATTGGTGTTGTATCGGGCAGCGTTGAGAAGCACACTCGCCCTCTGTACAGCAGAAAGCGGCGGGTGTACTCGAACAACATTTAAACCAACGTACCGTACCGCAGGAGGGGAGGGTAGAGAAGGGGCTCTTCCGTGTGACGACGGGTTGGAGTAACGGCACTAGTGCTGTGAGCGTTGATTTGAAGTGAAGACAAAAAAAAAAAAAACTCTACAGGAGCACGGTGACGGCCTCGCCGTTTCGGGCTAACGTTGGGGACAAAACAACGTTGGAGACAAAGCCAACCAACGAAAACTTAGGGTCTTCGTGTTGTGCCATGCTGCGGATATTCGGACCCCAAGAGAAGCCACAGCAGTAGTACTGTACTCGCATGATTCCAAGTTGCTTTTGAGATCACGGAAGCTTATCTTCCTCGTGGAGCAAGAGACAAACAAAATACACTCGTACGTACTGATCGTGCTGCATACAGGCTTCGACTATTTAGATGAATATGAGACCCACTGGAACGTGCCCATGGTTGTCCATCCATATTCTGCGCTTGCGAATATGGAGCAAAAATACGAACAAAATACACTCCGTACGTACTGATCGTGCTGCATAAATACAGGCTTCGACTAGATGAGTATGCGACCCACTGGAACGTGCCCAAGGCAGTCCGTCCATATTCTACCTTTGCGAATTCGAAGTCGATCCCCATCTTCGAAGCAGAAGCGCCGTCTCACGTGCTCATCAAACGTACAGCGACATCGCGCACAAAATTTCCAAAAAACTCGTTTGGAGTTCGTCATACCCAGACACCACCACCGCCACCACGGTACCGATAACGGAACATGCAGCAACAACAACGCGCTAACACGGTAAACGCCGTGTCGATGGGTGTTCGATCTGTGGGGCCTCACGGGCGCCGCTAGTCGGTGTGAGGCTGGCACTGTTGTAACCCGACTACTTCATACAGGCTTCCGTGTTGGTCGGGAAGTCCATCGCAGCAGTGACGCACACAAGCGTTGAATCTCTTTCTAACTACTGTTCAAGATAGATATACCAAGGCCTGTGCACAGCAGTAGTAGAAGCTCTGAGAATCTTGCAACGTCAAACCTTTCTTGCTTCAGTTTGCGCAGCTCCACCTACATAGCTGCCAGGAATTAGGCAGCATCCACCCTCGCGTGGTTGTCATTGTGGCGTCGGCACACACAGCAGCGACGGGAGCAGTAGGCGCTGCTGCGCGGGTATTCGGGGACCAGCTGCAAGCTGGCCATGTGCTAGGGTACTCTTGGGGACTTTGGACAAATTGAGGTGTAGTATGCCCCAACTATCTGAGGCAGTACGTGTTGTAACAAGGCCACCGAACCAGGGGCCACTGCTGCTGCACTGACCTGAACCTTGTTGTTGTACTCCTCCGTAAAGCTCCCTACGGCGAGGCGATACCTGTCCCCGGGATCCGACCGCTGGCACCATCCCATCGCGTAAATCTGCCACGGCGCCTCATAGGTGTAGATCTCCTTGCGACCGCCACCGCCTCCCTGGTCCCCCATGTGTCTGTCCCCCGCTTTCCCTCGGCGCACCAGCGGCGAAAAAAGCTGCTCTTACACCTCCTGGAAGGTAGACAAGAGAGTCGGCGACGAGCATGATGGGTGACCAGTACATTGTAGCGAAAAAAGCGGCTCTACACCTCCTGGGAGATAGACAAGAGAGTCGGCGACGAGCATGATGGGGCGCAATTCGCAAAATAGACCCTCTTAGGACTGGAAGCCCAAGCGGGGACACTTCGGGGACACTGCACTTCGTAAAATGTATGCTTTCCGCACCGTGGTCGTCACTATGCTCCGCTGCGCGAAAACACGCGTTGGAAACCTTGGTCCACCATGCTTGTGTGGAGTGGTAAATACTCTGTGTCATACACCGCTGTGTGATACACCGCTGTGTGATGCCTCTCCTCGGCCTCCGACTTGTTGTACACTGTACACACATTCTCTCAAAGCCCGCGTCCCCCCTAGGTGGTGAAACTACTGTACTGCTGTGAAGACTCCAACACATCCCGTTCGACTGTGGTTATTTCTCGAGTGGGCAGTCTTTCTGTGTGTATTAATAACGTTCCCTGATAGCCTGGCTGAAGCCAAGTCAGCCTTCGTCCCTCGGGACTGTATGGCCTCTCCCAATGAGCGGACGCGATTTTTTCTGGACCAATAACCTGTATTGGTAACTAGTAATGACTGCGTACCACAGCAGTAGGAGGGTAAACGACGGCGGTTACAACAGTAGGCTAGCGCCCGCGTTCACGAAACGTCAACTTGGGATCGAGGCTCAATTTCTTACTTACAGCAGTATTCGTCACCACCGACGAGCTACCAAAAGGTCATTATTTAGATATTAGCGTAGGATCCACGGCTGAGGTGTGTTTCTTGTTAATAGTCGACTGCTGTTTATCGTCAAAATCTGAGTCTTATGTTTCTGAAAGGTTTGCATCCTAATCGCGGGCGCTGACCGCTGTGCCGCAGCAGCAGTTGGCGACTGCTGTGGCAGGGGTGTGGGGCATACAGGAAAGCTGCAGTGACCCACCGCCGTTCTAAGTAGGTAGCCTACATCGCTCGCCAGAACTTGATCCGGCGAAGAGGCACACATGCAGGCGGCGTACACAACACACATGAATGTACACTCTGGGTGATTTATCCCTGCCCGTCCCTGGGCAACACGGTACGTGTGTGTACAGCGGTAAGTAGCCCGCGGCATCCTGGGGCACACAGCGTTGAGACAGCCAGCACAACGGGATTTGACCGCGGGCTTGGCACCCTGCCATACACATCTCCCGACGCGTCACACGGCTCTAACAGGCTACAGAGTGTTTCCTTGCAGGTGGTGGTGGTGGTGTACTGCGGTAGGCGAGACGGCGACGTCGAAGCGGCGCACCATCTCGTGTATGGTAGTCTTTCTGTACATGGTATGCCGCAGGCGGCAGCAGCAGCATTTCAAAAAACAGAGGTATGGTGTGCCTCTTGTCCCACACGATCAAAGGCACCGAGGCCATTGCATGATCGGTCCACACACCTTTCGTGCAGAACTTCCCAGAGTGCGGCCCAGTCCAGAAAGACAGAGAGGCAGAGAGAGGCAGAGAGAGAGAGAGAAGCTCGACCGACGCAGACTAGTGCAGTGGCAGGTGGATGTTGTACGCGGTGCAGAGGCTAGGTGAGGAGCACCGCGAAATGTACAAAATGTTCGTTACTGGGGGGGACGCATCACGGAGCTCCGACAGGTGCAACATGCTGCTGACTGTTGACTCGCTGACTCTGCTGTGTCTGCTGCCCACTGACGCCGTCGCTGCCTCCGCTACAGAGAGTCCACTTCTTGCAAATATCTCCAAGACCTTCACCCCCGAGTATCGCGGTATAAGGATCCCCAGCAGGTCACAGCAACGCCAGTATACAGCAGTAGCAATAATACCCATTGCCTCCCTGTGGAGGAACATCTTGAGAGGAGAGCTGCTGCCATGAAGAGAACAGCTGCCGCGACCTCCCTGCTGCTCCTGGCGAGCTCATCCGGGGCGTCCGCCTTCGTGCAGGGGACCACGGGACGGCATCTCCCATCGTCGGCGTCCACAAGGTCCCCCGCGACAGAAGCAGGAGAGTCGGCGTTTTCATGTTCCGCTTCCGTCCGTCGCGGCCGTGATCTTGGCAAGGCTGCAGCGGCAGCACTGCTGTCCACTAAGGCGGGGAGGAGGAGACCATCAGCGGAGGTCAGTTTTGCGGGGGATAGAGGCGGGCTCCTCTTAGCGTGTCTTAGTGGGGCTTCTCGAGATGTGTTTCCTGGGTGTTGAGGCGGATGTTTGTTGCTGTTGCGGTGCATGCGTATGCGGGTCGATTTTAGCGTCTGACGATCTACGACTCTGCGCTGGATGATGTCATCTTGCCCACGGCGCAGATCAGGAAAAATGAAACAAACACAGAAAAGACTTGCTAAACCAACCCGTTCGAGATATACCCACAGTCATGATGATGGCACTTATAGGATGCATATGCAAGGGGACTCCTCCATCGCCGTGATGACAATTGTTGTTTGTGGCACGCTCGAAGAACACTGCTGCAGCAGTGCACGCTGCGAGGTACACCGCAGCAGTTGCGAACTCTTGTCTCACCCGATCTACAACGAGCACTTGCACAGCCGCGTACATTGGCATGCTGTTGCTGTAGTCTATAGGCGCGATCCCCAGCAGTGTTGCTGCTGCTGCTGGAAGCATTATAGTCTGCCTTTAGTGTCGTTCGACAGCAGCTCATGTTTTCGACAGAAATACGCCTGCGGTGATCTTGGGGAGACACGATAATCATCTCACAGGTAAACTACTGCTGCTGTAGTGCCTTCCCGAAGAGTCTTACGGTACTGCTGTAAGCTCGTCGAAACCGGGCACCAAACACACATGTTCATCAGCAGTACCAGACCAATCATACCAGTCGATAAGCCTGTCGGAACTGACTGGTGTAATGGTTTGATTTGGCTGCTAAAATAGTCATTCTGCGTATGTACGTAGCGGAGCAGTTCTCCGTCAATTTTTCGGCGTATGTATGAGTTCCTCGCCAGCGAACAATGAGCCAAAGACGATGTTAATTTACATTTGGGAAAATAAAAGTACACGCGACATCGCTGTCTGAACCATGTCGTTGTCCGACATACCAGCAACAATCTCTACAAAACTCTTTGGCGCTCTTGGTGGAGCTTGCAACGAAGCTCTCGGAGCCGCTACCCCAAGTATGTAGCTCGAAGAGCAACACCGGCATCGCTTTTCTATCCTACGCTGGCAATTGATTTCAATCGTGTCCGCTCACCGACGGGCCGCGTATGTATTTGAAAATGTGTCTGCTCACGGACGGAAACATGTTCCGCGGCACCCGCAATTCTTACGTCGACCTCTCCGTCGTGCTGCCGCACAGCCGATACTGTGCATACACGCGGGAACATGCACTTTTGAGCGAAGGACGATTGAACCTTTCCCGAGCTAAACACTTTGAGTTTTGCCCGCAGTGGAGGGCTTGTCTGTGGCCCCGAACCGGAGCTCTTTGAGTCGGAGCGGCAAACTGCTGTAGGGTGGTACAGTAGAGGACCGTTAGTAGTACCAGTGCCGGTTGAATGGTGCACATGGGTATAGTGCGGGTCAAACATCTGGGCACCACTCCCGTACTAAAACCTGTGTAAAATCCCTGTTCTGAATAGTGCCGGTCCCTCTGAATAGCGCCGGTGAAGGTCAGGTCCATACCGGCACTACTGAGGACCCTCTGCTGTAGTTTGGAACTCTGAGCGACAAGAAAGGGGTGATTCAAAGCAACTTAGGAACCCTCGAGCGTGTTGATCAATCAGCAACATCTGCTTGTCCATGCACATTGTGCGGGCTCCACGCAGGCGGCCTTGCGCATGGGCCTACTGGACGACCTGCTCTCTTCCAAGGCAGACCCGGTGAGCGCCGCGAACGCGGACGTGCTGGTGTCATACGAGACTCGCATCAAGAATATCAACGCCCTCGAAGACGAGATAGAGGACCTAACGGACGACGAGCTAAGGTGATCAAGAAGGGAACCAAACCCAGCCTTTGAGATTATTTTAGGCAGTACAGCAGTACAGAACGGACTCGTATTCACGAAAGTCTATTTTGTTGAGAAACAGAGGTTCATTTTTTTATGAAAATAGGTTCAAAATGTGCAACTTAAGAGGTGGATCCTAGACTGATCTCTTAAGTATGTCACAACCCGTGCTCGACCCAGGGGCGAGCGATGGAATACGAAACTGAGAATCGGGCCGTTTAACATTTCGTATCTCCGAGCTCATTCTGTACTGCTGTACATGCCATGCCGCGTCGTGAGCATTTTTTTGTTTGTTTGTTTATGAACCGATATTCACGCACCTTACCCTACAGTATTGTCGACGCGCGAAGCCCGGCTGGCGTGTGCCCGAAAAGATACTCCGAGACATGGAAAACCGTGTGTGCCATACGCACCGGGAAAAATGTGGAAAACGAAAGACCAGATAGCTGGTGCATGAAAGTACCGCTAGAGGCGAGGTGGAGTAATCGAGCTTTGAGCATCGGTTCAGGGGGTGTGGTATCTTACGCAATGCACCCTATGGTCGCCGAATTGCCATTGAGAATCGGTTCAGGGGGTGTGATATCTTACGCAATACAACCTATGGTCGTCGAACTGCCATTGGGACCTTGACAATGGCGCTGGCAATGGCGAATTGGCAGGGACAAAACGAAGGAGTTTCGCGACAGGCTTTCGAAGGGTGAGGGTTTGGATGACATGATAGAAGAGGCTTTTGCCGTGGTCCGAGAGGCTGCCTGGAGGGTACTGGAGCTACGCCACTACGACGTTCAGGTGATGTGATTGGTTGTGTTGATGGTTTGCTTTAGTTTTTTCCCCTGTATTTTCGTTTGCAGCAACTACAACACCATAATCAAAACCACCACCACCACCAACAACAACAACAACGACAACAACATTAGAGCTGTGGGTAGATGCTGGGGACACTCTGTGTGTGTGCATATCTTTCATCGGTCTAAGGGGCGCTCGTGTGTGTTTGGTTTGTATCCCCATAGACCACGCTAATCGGCTGAAAAAGCGAAAATACGTCAGTCTCAGCTGGATAATAATCGCGACCACGCTTTCCAGTCGTTTGTATGCGTGCATGTTTTCATGCTTCTTGTGCATGTCGTTCTTGTCTTCACATTCAAAATCCGTCCCGATCTCTCTGCCCAGTACCTCCCTTCTGTCCGTACTGATCTGCCTCTTGACGCGGTCGATCCGCGGGCTAAAAGGTACACTCAAATAAATTGGACCCGCATGTTTTTTTATTTTTTGCCCGTCGGTGAGCAGCTCATGGGCGGGCTAGCCTTACACGAGGGGAAACTGGCCGAGATGGCAACGGGGGAGGGGAAGACTCTCGTGGCGACGCTGCCCTGCTATCTCAATGCTCTCGCGGGAAAGGGCACCGTGTTGGTGGTGACCGCAAACGACTACCTCGCCAGGAGGGACGCCGAAACGATGGGTCAGGTAAAAAAAGAAGTAAACAACGAGCACACGTGGTACATGCCTATGAAAACGATCGTTTGCGGCTAAGAAGCTGTTTTTTCTGAGGTGTGGTCTTGGTACATGCGAATGATTGAGACATCGAAGGTAGAAAGTCGGGATTTGTTCTTGAATATCGAGGGAATACGATTTTTTAATACGGACGGGCAGACATCCCCGCTTTTACCATTTGTGCCTACAGTATCCCTTGAGATTTCGTTGCAAACACAAGCGTGCCTTCAGGTCGTTAGCAGTGGAGACTGCTCCGGGAGCCATTTGTCTGCTGTCTTCAAGCAAATCTTGGCTGTTCGTCTGCCTTTTTCAAGCAGCTCTTGGCCATTTCTTGTGTTCAGCGCAATATTCTTGATGTCCTTTTTTTTTTTTTTCTGCCTTTCCTATGCGGTAGGAGGGAACTGTATGTAGTGTAGCCCTTCTGTCTTCTCTGTTCTTCAGGGGTGTTCACGGAGTAGAACCGCTCCGCAGATCGCTTTCCCCCCTTGTTTTATGGCATCACGTAGCGAAGTGGTGCGGTTCGTCCGACGGATTTTTTTTTTTTTTTTCATTTCAAGGTAACCCGGAGCGGTTTCGGAGCGGTTTATACCTCTTGCACCCTCGTAATAAATGGTGTTTTTTCTCTCCTTCTGCATTCCGTGTGGCGGTATATCACGTTTTGTTTTGTTCGTCGAGTGCGCATTCTCGTTTTGTGCTTCGCACGTGGAGGAGCATGTCTTGCATTTGGCCGCGGTGGTATGTCCCGGCACCCCTCAAGTCACCCCCCCCGCTTCCTCTCTGTCAAGCATGTTTTTGTTTCGCGGGAAATCTGGGTGGGTCCATGGTATGCGTACAGGGGGTCGATATCCTGGTACAAAGGGGGGTGTTATCTACCGTGCAGATATGAAGATGTTTCGACACTGACGACTGTGGAAAGAGGGGACCATCAATCTTCAGGCGTTGGGGGATTGTTTTGTCCTTCATGAAGGGGATCGATCTATCTCCACACGACACAGCCGTTTTACAAAAAATATTTCGTAACAAAAAAGAAAAAAACAATGCTGCATGCAGGTGCACCGATTCCTAGGGCTCAGCGTGGGGCTGATCCAATCAACGATGCCGGAGGCCCAGAGAAAGGAGGCGTACTCCTGTGACGTCACCTACGCCACCAACCAGGAGCTTGGGTTCGACTACCTTCGAGACCACCTGACGGTTACCCAAGACGGTGTGTTTGTGGACCGGGATAGGGGGTGTGTTTTGGTTGGTTGGCCCTTTGGGTGGTTTCGGTGTTTTTCTTGACGGGGGGGGGGGCGAAGGGTCTGACTTCGTGTGGCGGTGTGTAGCTTTGGTTGATCCTTTTCCGTCTTGGATGGATGACCCGTCAAAGTTTCCTCTGTATGTTCGCATCCCTAGGTTATCTCTCTGCGCATCCCTATGCATAGGTTCTCTCTCTCTCTCTGGCTCTCTCTCTCTCTCTCTCTGGCTCTCTGTCTCTCTCCCTCTCCTTCTGCTCTTTGTGTCTCTCTCTCTCTTTCTGTCTGTGTAGGTCTGCTTCTTGGCGGAAGATCTGCATCTCTCTTTTATCTCTCACTGCCTCGCTCGCTCTCTCTGCCGTATTCTTCTCTCTTTGACGACATCCCCATCTCTTGGCCCAACAATCCAAATCCTCCCTACCCAGGAACGGTGCAAACGAAGGACTTCTTCTTCTGTCTGGTGGACGAAGCCGACTCCATCCTCATCGACGAGGCACGAACGCCTCTCATCATTTCCAGGAGTGTCGACGCCCCCGCCCAGAAGTTCGCCACGTCCCAGAAGATCGCCAGCGTGTTGGAGAAGGGTGTCCACTACACGGTACGGTTTGTGTGACACTATACGGTGCGGTTAGTGTGACGCTACACGGTACGGTTAGTGTGACGCTACACGGTACTGGAGAAGGGTGTCCACTACACGGTACGGTTTGTGTTACACTATACTGTACGGTTAGTGTGACACTACACGGTGCGGTTAGTGTGACGCTACACGGTACGGTTAGTGTGACGCTACATAGTACGTTTTATATGACCACTACACGGTACGGTTAGTGTGACGCTACACAGTACATTTTGTATGACACTATAGCTATACGAAAATTAAAAAGTTACACAGGTGTGATAAAATCGCCCCAGATCTAAACTCATGCCGGGTGTGTGTTCTTTCGTATTCGTTAAATCGCGCAATGCAACGGTTTATGTTACCTTTTTGTATTCAACGTGTCGATGATTTGAAGGTTGAGATGATAAGGGAGGGGGGTTTAATAAGTGGTTTGGTCGGCGTGATGCAAGTGTTTCTGCGCAAGCAGAGTACGCGTGAAAGACCCGCTTGTTTTTTCACCCCCCAAGTGCTTGACGGAAAACGTCGTCGTTCTGTGTTTCTGCCTCTGTTGGTTGTTGTTTACGTTGTCGTTGTCGTTGTTTTGCAGGTGTCTGAGAAGGAGCAGTCGGTGGTCTTGACGGACAAGGGCTACGACGACTGCGACCGCATCCTGGGCAAGTCCATGTTCGACCCTAGGGACCCGTGGGCGCCTTTCATCATCAACTCCGTCAAGGCGAAAGAGATATTCACCCGGGACAAGGTAAATCGACGGTAGTGGGCCCAGTTTAACGACATGCCCCGATTTAGCGGAGAGCCTCGTGCAGCGACCGTATGGCACCACTGCAGCCCGACTGCAAGACTAGCCACTACATGCCGGCAATGACGACCTGCACCTGAATGTAGCGTCCAAAATTCCCTCCTGATACTATGATAGGGGTCGCTAATTTTGGCATGCCACCGGCGTTTTTGTGGTTATTATCTACGGATGGGTTCACCACGCTGACGACGTCAAATTCACGCCGGGCTATGGCTCGGCCGGCACTTTCGACTACCACAGCCCCATCTCGGCAACTATTTCCCTGCTGCGGATGCATGTTTCTGTATCTCTCTGTATCTCTACCCTATCTCCATCTCTATCTCTGCCTCTCTCTCCCTCGCCTCGCTCTGCGCCTGTCTGTCTGCCTGTCTGCCTGTCTGCCTCTCTCTCCCTCCGTCCCTCTCTCTCTGTGTATCTCTCTCGCCCCCCTCTATCTCTAATCGTGTGATGATTGCCCGCACACTTCCGACTGATTGACTGACTGATTGGCTGACAGACCGCATAACTGAACGTGACCGAATCACTAATTGACTGGATGAATGAATGATTTGACTCCAGGAGTACATCGTCCGCGACACGGAAGTCCTCATCGTGGACACGTTCAGCGGCAGAGTGCTAGAGGGACGGAGGTACAGCGACGGCCTTCACCAGTCCATTGAGGCCAAGGAAGGTCAGTCAGTCAGTCACTCATTCAGTCAGTAAGTCACTCAACCACTCAATCACTCAATCACTCACTCACAGTAGTCTACGCAGCAAAATTGATAAGTCTAAGCAAACATATGGGATAAAGTATTCAATCCGTGCTTTAGGGTTAGGGTCAGGGTTAGGGATAGGGTCTGCGTGCCCCCTATTATTTTTCTATATACTCTTGAAATCCTGCGTAGGCGGTCCGTAGTCTACGCAGCAAGATTGATTAAGCAAACATGTGGCATAAAGAATTCAATCCGTGCTTTGCGGTTAGGATTGGATAGGGTTAGGGATAGGGTCTGCGTGCCCCCTCCCTATTCTATTATTTTTCTAGATGCTCTTGAAATCCTGCGAAGGCGATCCCTCAATCACTCACTATCATTGAGTCACTCACCCACTCATTTCATTTTAGTCACTCACTCACTCACTCACTCACTCACTCAGTCTCGCCCACCTGCCATTGTTGTGGTGGCTCTGTGGTTGGTTGTCGGTTGCACGGAGGCCGCTGCCCGCCACTGCCCGGTGAAATCGCTTTGCATGGATGGAATATTCAATTCAAGGCTTTCTCGTTGTCTTGAGTGGTGCCCTGGTGCCGTTGTCGCCGTAGGGTTAGGGTTTGGTTGAGTTCGGCATCGATGGATGGGTCTAGACTGACCACCTTGATGAGAACACGGTCATTTTTTTTACGGCCTGAGAGGCTTGGCGCTGTTCTTCTCCCCCTCAGAGTAATCCTACCCCCAATCCTCACCACCCTTAGCCTTAGACATTGAATATTATCTCTTGGGAAAGGGATCGCTGCTTGTTCGAGACACAGCTAGGAAGAGGTCCTGTCGCAAGTGACCTAAATAGGTAAGCTAGATAGCCCGAACCCTAATCCGAACCCTAAGCCAACTTGTCCGAACCCGAACTATCTGCAGTAGCTGGACCGGTGTATTGCCGGTCGAATAGTGCTGGGTGCCCGGTATATTGCTGGTATTTTCGGCCCGCACACACGGAAATACCAAGTCGTTGTTCTGTACTTGGAATTGTGCCGGTGTCCGGTATTGTGCCGGTAAAATCTCTGGACACATACCGGCAATATACAGAACCCACTTTGTGCTGTATATGGAATCCTTGTTTTTCCCACACATTGAAATACCAAGTCGTTGTTCTGTACTTGGAATACTGCCGGTGTCGGTACCGGTATGGTGCCCGTAAAATCTCTGGACACATACCGGCACAATACAGAACCCACATTTTGCTGTACATGAAACCCTTGTTTTTGGTTTTTCTCTCTTGGGACAGGGATCACCGTATCGAAGCAGAGCCAGGTGATGGCGCAGGTCACCTACCAGGCGCTTTTCCGAAGCTTCCCCAAGCTGTGCGGCATGACGGGTACCGCCATGACCGATGCCAACGAGCTTGGCACCACATACGGCTTGCAAGTGGTTCAGGTGGGCGCGTTTCTTTTTTTTTTTTGTCCGTTGACTTACTTTTGACCTCCGAGCGACTCTCTCTTTTTTAACACCCGAAATCGTTAGACAGCATTAGGCCAAACGATTTTTTGTCTGTGTGTGGTCCTTCGACTTGCTTTGGCATTTGAGCAACCTGCTTCTTTAGGAACCGGAATCAAACCATTAGACCGCAGAGACGGATGCAGTGTTTTTTTGTACGTTTCGAGCTTGAGCCAATTTACCGCTTCGCAACCGAATAAGAAATCAGACTAGACGGTTGCTGTGCTGTTTCTTTTGATTTCTCGCTTCCAACCTTTAGCATTTTTCCCTTCCGTAAATCAAAACACTCAGCCCAAGTCCCGAACCCGTAGTCCCGAGCCCGCAGCGACCTCGTTCCTTACGGCCACCCCGCCTCTCTTTGTTGCGTGTCCTCAAGATCCCTACGGCCCTGCCGATTGCTAGGAGAGACTATTCCCGGACGTCGTCTTCCGCAACCGTGAGGGCGCTAACGCGGCCATGCTTAACGAGGTGGAGAGGCTGCACAAGGACGGCAGGCCGGTCCTGATCGGAACCACGAACGTCGGCATGTCGGACCAGACGGCGAAGGTATCTCGAGGAGAGAGGGGTCCCGTGCCAGGTATGTTGATCTACCCCCCCCCCCCCCCCCCATTGTGAACTTCGGGTTAGACACGGTCGGTACATACCCTGTGAATAGAGTTTCTTCGAGGGGCAGAGGCCTCCCGAAAACGTCAAATGATGTTGAATACCACCCCCCCTCTGCCTACCAGTTTCCACCATGTGTGTACCCCCCTTTGCATGTCCAATGTCTACCATGTGGGCTATTTGGTTATCCCGCAAAGAGCGCTTGAAGGCTTGGACGTGCTTGCATCGGAGATTGGGATAGATGCGCGGCCTGTTTGCCTCAAGTCTGTGTTCAAGCACCCATTGAGACAACCCCCCCGCACACGACCACATACACCCCACGATCGAAACAATGCACGTACGAGTTGTGGAGTACCGGGCTGCTAACAAGAAATGAAGTCGAAGAAAAATATATTATATGGTTGTTTTTTTTCCAACGGGTTCAGCTGCGGGCTCCACACCAAATCCTATTTCGATATGATACGCTACTGTATTAACACCCTATGCTCAACACTGGCGACACAAGCGGTGGTTGGACGTTCATCCTGGGTCTAATTTATCAGCCTCTGCCACATCACATATTTTTTCGACACGATACGCTATCACCACCCTGTGCTCAGTGTTGCCGACACAGGCAGTAGCCAGGCGTTCAGCCTGAGCCTAACTTTCAGCCTCTGCCACGCCATATCATATCCTATTTCGATACGATACGCTACTGTATTAACACCCTATGCTCAATGTTGCCGACACAGTACGTTTGACTGAGCATGATTTTCGGTATCTCACGTGCGGACCGGTACCCCCCCCCCCCTCGTAGACCCTTAACGCCAACCCCGACTTGGTGGAGCGAGAGAGCGAGATCGTGGGGCAGGCTGGTCGGCTTGGAGTAGTGACGGTAGCGACTAACATGGCCGGCAGGGGCACGGATATCTTGCTGGGAGGGAATCCGTCGGTGATGGCGAGGATCAGGGTCAGGGACGCCCTGGCGGCTGAGTTGCTGAGCGATGAAGACCTCGCGGCGGTGCCTAAGGTGAGACTTGTTGTTGGTGTCGGTGGTTGTTGTTGTTGTTGTTGTTGTTGTAGCTGCTGTGGTGGCTGTATTTTTGTCAACATCGAGAAAAACTGTGCGCACACCACTTGTTTGACTGTCCCACCGTGTTTGTTTTTAAAGTCCCTGATGGGGCTTCTCTGTTGAACCTGGGAACACATTCGGTCTAGACGAAAGGGATGGGATGGTACAATGGTTAAATCGCCCTCAAAACACGAAAATCATCCCCCGCCGTCCCACACTCAAGGATGGTACATCCTTGTGAAACGGAGACTGGGCCGGCGGTATCGCTCCGTCCCGACGTTATGGGGATGCGAGGTCTATGGTCTATAGCTACTACGGCATGCGTTTACATGAATACCCCCCCCACTCCGTCCTCTTGAGGACGCGTGGTCAATGGCCTAACCGCTAAGGCAATGAAAACATAAAGAGAGAGAGTGTACCCTCGCCCCCCCCATCGCCAGGTCGGAGAAACCTTTTTCCCCTGTGAACTCCCGGAAGATGCATCGTCGGCTCTGGAGAAGGCCATCGCCGCCTGCAAGGGTGATTCCGCGCTCTTCGCCTCCGACAACGACAGCATCGACGCTGGGGAGCTGCTTTCGAGGGAGGCGCTAGAGGGCCTGGTGTCTGCGGCTTGCGAGGCGGGGCCTGTGGAGGGCGCCGGGGCCGTGGCTGTCAGGGAGGCGGCGACGGCGGTCAAGAAGAGCTTCGCCGATGCCCTCAGCGAGGAAAAAGAAAAGGTAAACTGTACATGAGAAACAGAATGGGGGTACCCCAAACGTAGACAAGAATGATGGGTACCAGAACCACGCGAGGGATTTGTTATCTTGTTGTGTATTGGTTGAAGTATTAGAATAGAGTCAGCGTCAGAAGAGGTTTACACTTGGATGAAACTCGGGAAAACTTTGCTCGTGGTCGGACCAAGAATATCTCCCTTCACGTTTAACCTTAACCTTGGCTTAACCTCGGCTTAACCTCGGCTTAATAATCGGTTCAAACCCGGCTTAAAACTCGGTTTGACCTCGGATTAACCAGGTATAATGTTACACAGTGGTGTTCCAGCTATGCGATGACGCCTTTAACACTGCTGTAGGTTGAGTACCGACTGGTTAGAGGTCCAATTAGATTGGGGGGTAAGCTCATCTAGGAGAGTCAAGAACCGATTCGAACGCGATCACATGGACCACCGAGATCCACTGCTCTAAGCAGTAGTGGACAATTCCTCCAATAGGTGTTCCTTCGCTACGTAGTACTGCTAGCATTGCATGGACGGACGGTCTCAGTTGCTTACAAGTGGCCTATCTGGCAGCGTTTAGGCTTCGTTTGACTTCGTTCACTGTTGGCCGTGATAACACTTGCCACGTGTTGTGGTGTGGAACAATGGGGTTTTATTGCGACTGATTCAGGTCACCTTCGCTTGTACCCTAGCCCTCCTCGATTGGCTTCACAGCCAATCGAACAGTCGAATTTCCCGAGAGCGAAAAGCTGTCATTACGTTAACCTTGGCTTAACCTCGGCTTAACCTCGGCTTAAACCTCGGCTTAACCTCAACAGAGAACGCATCATCCAATTTCAAGGCATCGCGAAGGAAGACATGGAAGATTTAGAGATGTGCATCCATACCCTCCGCATTGGAACGACCGACTACTACCGTAAGGTTGCGAGTCAGCGCACAGGGTTGCGAACGTTTTTCAACGCGTAATTTCTCCACAAGCAGGAGGTTACCACTGTCGAAGAGGGCGGTTTTGGAAATATCTCATCGAGAGCTTTCCTGAGAAGTATCAGTTGGCGCTCGCACCCTCATGGTTGTGGAGAAAATACGCTTTGAAAATCGATCGCACCCCTGTGCGCTGACTCGCAACCTTTACTTGTTCAAAGGAACACGTGTTTGGGTCGAATTGTACATGTTGTGTCGTATAGACTGATCGTAGTGTACATCCGCCTCATGAGTGATTCATCGTATGCGGAAGTCCATCGCAGATCCCTGAACAACATCTATCGTATGCATAGGTTGATCGTTGTTTGCCTACCGTGACCTCTATCTATCCCTCCTACCACGCTTTCTACTACTGTACGCATCATCAGGTGCTCGAGCTCGGCGGCCTTTACGTGGTGGGCACCGCAAGGCACGAGAGCCGTCGCGTAGACAACCAGCTAAGGGGGAGAGCCGGGAGGCAGGGGGACCCGGGGGCGACGCGGTTCTTCCTCTCTCTGGATGACGACATCTTCAGGTGATTTTGCGGTGCCCCCGCCTCGTTGTACCGGCTTTTGACCTCCTGCGTAGTGCTTGCTGCCGAACATGTTGGTGACTGGTCAATCTTTACGTCTGTCGGTGGACTGGTCGAGTTGTACGTGTGTCGTATAGGTGCACATCTTCAGGTGATTTTGCGGTGCCCCCCCCCTCGCTGTACCGGTTTTTGGCCTCCGCAAGTGTGCTTGCTGCTGTACGCATTGGGTGATTAGTCCATCTAAGTACCGATCGAAATGTGGGTGTGTCGTAAAGGTTGATGGTAGAGTATCGTAGATCCATCGGATGCATGCATACGTCTATCGAAGATCCCTGAACATCGTCAATCGTACGTCTATCATGAACCTGTCGAACTACGGTACATGTGTTGTAGTCTATCGTATATCCATGCACTCTATTGTAGATGCATCTCGACACATCTAGCTGGATCTTTCGCAGATCTTTCGAGATCTTTCATAGCGAAAAAAATTGTTTTCACACTGACAACAACACGCTTTTTATTGTTAGACATGAGTTTCGAAAAAGTGTGAGTTAGAAACTTTTCGCGGGGATTGTTTGTAGAGGCCAGCCCACCTATAATGTTACCATGTTTCGCGTTCGTTTCCCTTATCCTGACCCGGATTTCTTGTCCCGAACGCCTTAAATCTTACCACGTGCTGCATCCGTATCCTAACCTCCTGATGCCTATCCTGAACGGCCACTTTGAGCAGGGTTTTTGGAGGGGACCAGGTGACCAAGATCATGGACAGCTTCAGACTCAGCGACGACATCCCGATCGAAAACAAGCAGGTAAGGGTTTGGGTTTACCTATCGATCCGATCAATTACGTATGCGTGCTCCGCTTCCTTTTCGGGTGATGTTGGTGACGAGTTGGCACAAAGCAGTAGTCGGAGTACTCGCGAGCGTTGTTGGAAATTCGGCGCGAAGACTGGTGGGAGGTGAAGTCACAGAAGCATGCAATTTTTTTCGCTTCTTCTCTGGGTTCCTTCCACCCGTACTACGTATCAGCCGTGCTCGGTATCAGGGTAAGGGTAAGTTGACAAAAAAAATGATACTAGCAAAAGCGGGTCAACACAAAATACACTTTTTTTTCATCGCACTTCTCACGTGCATGGCGGTGAACCTCGGTATGGACTTGTGTAACCATCTTGCCAGACGGTTTTCGACTTGTTTATGTTAAGACGAGAAGTCATCACATTCGTCGCTTATGTGTTTTTTGCTCGTTTCAGGTGTCCGCCACACTGGACAAGGTGCAGATAGCCACCGAAGACTATTTCGCAGGTATCCGGAGGACGGTCTTCTCCTTCGACGAGGTGGGTAAGGGCAGACTCTTTGTTTGCTTTTTTAAGACGGAGTGGGACGTACGTTAGTAGGCGTCACTGGTCGGACCCGTACGGGTGTTGAATGGAAGGTACGGAGGCAGAGAACTTGGCGGTTTTGAATGGTAGCAGACCACGGTGTGACGTGCGTTAGACCGCGTCACTCGTTGGGCCAATACGGGTGTTGAGTATAAGCTACGGAAGCAGAAAACGAACGGGGCGGTTTGGGAAATGGTAACAGACCGCGGTGTGACGTGCGTTAGTCCGCGTCACTGGTTGGACGGACCAATACGGGTGTTGAACAGAAGGTGCGGAAGCAGAAAACGAACGGGACGGTTCGGAATGCTAAGACAACGACAACGAACTTCCGGCAATACCGAGTAAAGCTTGTCAGGCACGGAGTAAGTTGCAGGTGGTTTGGAGCAACGCCTTGACCCCCTGCATACGGTAAGAGGTGACGACAGTTTCACGGGAACGCAGTATCCACAACCGCGAAGACGGTCACGCTTGCAATAGGCTTTCCGTCGAGGAAAGTGTGCCACGAGCGAAGCGTGCCTCATACTCATGTCCCCTGAGAATGAGAAAACAAGGTATACATATGCCTGCGTTCTGTACGAGCGCATGCGCACAAGATGACGGTGGCGGCGACACGACAGAAACAACCGCTATCGTCGTAACGGAAAAATTTCGTACGTGTAGGCACCAATGAATCCAAGCTAGTTAGTGGTCCCGATATATAGCGGCATATATGCATAGGGGCAAGAGGAGAGTATGCCACTATTCAGGGCAGTGCCAGACTTCGATTTAGTCTATCGGGTTCATGTACATGTTGAGGAGATTGTGACAAGAGATTTTGATGCCACTACATATAAATCGGGAGTTTCACTATTGAGGGTGCCACTACTATGTCGGGACCACTGGTGCACCACCCACGCAAGAAATTCGAGTTGTCACAGAACATACAGCAACGACAGATTCCTGCTCACGTTGGTACGGCTCACCGACTGCACGTTCGGTCTCTCCGAACTCCAGGTGATGAACGACCAGAGGCTTGCGCTTTACCGGGCCAGGGATGACGTCATCGACAAGGAGCGAGAAGAGCTGAGAGAGCTCGCGCTCGAGTACTCCGCCAAGACTTGCACGGAGATAGTGCAAGGGTAAGCGAGGGCGAGAGGAAGGAAGTCACGGGGTTTGGAGTGGAGTTGGACGTGTTTTTAGGGCGCGTGTTTTCTGGTGGGCGAATCGTATCTCCGCCAGCCGCCACCCTCGTGTGGGCCCGAGCCTCTGCCGTGTGTAAAGCGTGTTTCGAGCGTGTTTTGTTTCGTTTGCAGTGGTCGCGCAAACCGGCTGGCCAAAGAAATGACGCCAGTCTGATTGCGACATAGAAGCGTTGGTGGGGGGGGGGGGGAGAGGGGAAGGCGTTGGGTTGGAGGTGGCCGTGGAAAGGGTGGACATTTGTCCCGAACGCGAACAGTACCAAGTATACGAATGCGCAAGTGGTCGCGCAAACCGGCTGGCCAAAGAACTTGCGTCGATATCATTGCGGCACAAAAAACGTCCGCGTGTTTCGTCTGAGGGAGAGAGCAGGGAGGACATTGGGTTGGAGTCGGCCGTGAAAAGGACGGACATTTTGGGAACGCGAATAGCATACAATAGGCGCGTTTCTTTTGTGTGCTTTAACAGCGCGTTTGTGTGTTTATCTGTCGTCTATTCTGAGTGCCGTTCTACATTTTTCGGTATGTACCATGTGTTTCGACGCGCTAGCCAGGGCTTAGTCGCGGTTTCCTCGTTCCTGTGAGGCTCCCACAGCATAGTATCTGTGCCGCACCGCTCAAGACTCCCTCATCGAGCTGCTGCGAAACAGCACGGTCGAGTCTGTCCATCCCCCCCCCCCCCCCCCTCCCCAACAAGGGCTGTACCTAATGAGATTATTCCCTCCGTGTCTACCAAACTTTTCCAGGCAGCAGTTTTGCCTGAAGGGCTGAAACATGATTCACATCATCTATGTCGGCAAGGCAGCATTTTTAACATATTTTCCTCCGCGTACCCCCTCCCCCCCCCCTCTTCCCGTTCCCATCTGCGGCAGCAACTCCGCCAGCGACGGGACCCCCAAGGCGGTGCTGTCCGACAAGTTGAGGCAGTTCTTCCCACTGGGCGACGCCTCTGCCCTGTCAGCCGAGAGCCTGACTGCGGCCTACAGCAAGGGAGGAAAGGACGGGCTGCTGCAGCACGCCTTGGACCAGGCCGCGGCCGCCACCGAGAAGAAGGTACACTTTATTATCATTAGTATTAGTATTATTATCATTGTTATTATTATTATTAGTTATCGATGCACTTTATTATTTTTTCTTCTTTATTTTTTTCTTTTATTTTTGCTATTGTTGTTTAGTTTCTTAATTATCATGTATTTATTTATATCATTATTGTTGTTATTATTATCTATTTATTTTCATAATTTTTGTATTGTTATTGTTATTGTTGTTATTATTAGTCTATTTATTTTGTTTCATTTTTCTTGTGTGTATTTTTCATGAAGTACCAACGTGTGGTCGCATCAGCCGGGTTCACCACCATGAGTAAGACCTCTCTCTCAGAGACACTCAAGACGCCAATCTTGTGGGTATCAGGCGAAGACTGACATATCAACCTGTCCATCACAAACCAGACCCCGTCATCCACCAGCATTTCGATCACCCCCGCCCCCCCCCCTACGGTGCCCCCAACAAGCAGCTGTCGGATATCGAGGCAGTAAGGGCTGGGCTGTCGAGCGAGTCTGCACGGTTCTTGACGCTGACCCAGATGGACGACCTGTGGTGTCAGCACCTGGAGAACATGAACCTCCTTAAGGAGAGCGTGTCGATGGAGGTCTTCAGGGGACGGAACCCCCTGGAGGAGTTTGGGGCACAGGTATCCTACGGACTTGAAAAAACGTTGTACTCAGACATTGTGATTTTTGGCGTTGACTCAATTACTTTGAGGCACACATAGGCTACCCTGTACCGCGATAAACTTGTGTGCATAATTACTTGGTATAATATTCTGCGCGCGACTTCATTCGCTTGTGACAGAGGTACAAGCTGCTTTAATTCTGTGTGTGGCTTGTTTTCTTCGGAGCACGGGTCGGGTAAGCTACGGACTTACGACGATCACCCCCCCATGTCAAGAAATTTTTATGGAGTTTGTGGCAGAAACGTAAAGAGCTCCCAAATGTTGGTGGTGTCTCTAGTAGGTGTAGGAACGGTGCTCCGTCTCGAAAGGGACGCGTGGTCAATGGTCAAATGACTACGGCAAGCAACAAATGAGTACGCCCCCCCCCCCCCCCCCCTGTTTTGTGGAAGGGAAAGGGAAGTTTCTGGGATTGGTGGAAAAACTTTCGGGAAAAACCCTCTATTTCTTGGAAAAGTTCAATCCCCCCCCCCAAAAATTTGGGGGTGGTGGGGCCCAAAAATAAAGGAAAACATGGGAAAATTTTTTTTAGGCCAAAAAAACGAGGGATTTCCCTGGGACAACTCCCCAAAAGTTTAACCCCCTTTCCGGGAAATTTCCCTAAAAAAAAGGGCTCCCCTGGTGGTGTTTTTGGGGTTTCTGGAAATTTTGGAAAAAAACAGTGGTAGCAAGGTGGGAACCCCAACGACACAAAACTTTTTATGGAAATCAAGTATTTTTTGGTGAATTAAAGGAACACCCCAAAAAAACCCGAAGGGAAGGTGCCACCAACAAACCTGGTTGGAAGTGGTTCTTTCGG